AAAAGCTTCTTCACACTTCTCATCCCAAAGGAATCCTTTGTTTCCTTTTAGAATTTGGTAGAAAGGCAACGACTTATCTGTTGACCTCGAGATAAAACGATTCAAGGCCGCAATCCGCCCAGTCAACCGTTGTACTTCTTTGAAGTTTTTCGGAGATGGCATGTTTAGAAAGGCGTTAATTTGATTTGGATTGGCTTCAATCCCTCTTTCTGTCACGATATAGCCAAGAAATTCTCCGGATGGGACTCCAAATGTGCACTTCGCCGGGTTCAGCTTCATTTGATATTTATTGAGAATATCAAAACATTCCTCCAAATGCTTAACATGATCTTCTTTCTTCAATGATTTAACCAACATATCATCTATGTAGACTTCCATAGTCTTCCCGAGGTGATTGTGAAACATTTTGTTCACCAATCGTTGGTAAGTTGCTCCTGCATTTTTCAAACCAAAAGGCATTACCTTGTAACAGTAGATACCTCTATCTGTGATAAATGACGTCTTTTCTTGATCATTGGGGTTCATCATTATCTGATTATAACCCGAGAAGGCGTCCATGAACGTTAACAGCTCATTTCCAGCGGTGGATTCTACAAGTCGATCTATATGCGGGAGCGGAAAACTATCTTTGGGACATGCTTTATTCAGGTCTGTAAAATCGATGCAAACCCTATCTTTCCCGTTCTTTTTCTTAACAACGACAGTGTTTGCTACCCACTCCGGATATTGCACTTCTCTTATGGACCCTATCTTCAAAAGTTTATCCACTTCGTCGTTTACTATTTTTGCCCGCTCCACTCCAAGCTTTCTTCTTTTTTGTTTTACCGGTTTGAAGCTTGGATCCACGTTTAGTTCATGACAAATTATACTCGGACTTATGCCAGGCATGTCCGCTGCTGACCATGCAAATGATGCTTTGTTTTTCCTTAAGAGTTCGATCAAAGCTTCTTTTATTTGGCCAGTCAAAGTTGCTCCAATTCTAATTTTCTGGTCCGGCTTGTCTTCTTCCAACACCACTTCGACTACTACATCATCTTTCTTCTGCCCGCTAGGAAATTTTGTTCTTAGTCCTTCTTTTGCGGGCTTCGTTAGTTGCTATTGAATCTTCATACGGTGGCTAGCTAGGTAGCACGTCCGTGAAGCTTCTTGATCTCCCCGAATTGTTTCCACCCCATTTGTTGTTGGAAATTTGATACATTGATGGTATGTAGAGGGGACTGCTTTCATCCGATAAATCCAGGGAGTCCCGAGGATGATGTTGTAAGCTGCGGGCTTATCGAAGACAACGAAGTCCACGATCTTCGATACCTTCTTGGCAAGGACCGGTAGCTTGATTGTTCCGAGAGACATGGCTGACTCGCTTGTGAACGCAACTAACGGAGATGGGGGTCCTACTATGTCTCCTCGGCTGATTCCCATTCTTTCTAGAGTACTTAAAAAGATCAAATCGACTGAACTGCCTGTATCTATAAGGATCCTTGATACTTCGAAGTTAGCAACGTCAAGGGTAATGACTAGAGCATCATCATGTGGTCTTTCGAGGTACCGCGTTTCTTCTTCATTAAATGATATCGATGCACCTTGAAAATCGACTTCCTCGCTTAAGCTTGCTTTGAGTAGGATATTTCGTCTATGTTTCTTGATGGAACTTATCGAATCTCCGCAAAATCTGGAACCTCCTAGAATCACATTGATTTTACCCTTCGAACTCCTTGGTTCTTCCTCGTTGGAAAACCTTGGTCTTTTGGAATCTTGATCTTTGGAGTTTTCCTTTGCTTCGTGGTATTCCTTCACAAAATCTTTTATATCGAATTTAGAAAGATCGCCACTAGCCCAAAGCTCTGCGAGGTGCTTTTTAAGAACGCTGCAATCCTTGGTTAAATGTCCGGTTACTTTGTGAATGTCGCAATATAGACTTTCATCACGGACCCAAGTGTTTGACCTTCCTTTCCCTTGGAATTGCTTCCCGACGGAATTGTTGAAGGGTTGCGACCCAAACTTCCTTGGTCCTTTGCTCTCTCTAGGCTCGAACTTCTTGGTAGGGACGGTGACTGCCGGCTTTTCTTGTTTATTCCGTTTGGCAAAACTTTCTTTTTCGTCTTCTACCTCCATCCAATTGTTTGCACGGAAGAGTGCATCCTGAATTGTATCTGGTTTATGAAGTATTAAGTCTTCTTTAAACCTTGAATCATGTCGCAATCCTTTTCGTAGGGCAGATAAAGCTGATTGCTGTGAGATTCTTGGTAGTTTTGATAGCACTCCTTTGAATTTGGTGATGAAAACTCGAAGTGACTCATTAGATCCTTGCGTTAAGTTCCAAAGATCGGCATCCGAAACGCTTTTATCCATAAGGATAGAGTATTGCTTTAAGAACACGGCTGATAGTTCGTCGAAATTGCTGATCGAACCAGGCTCTAATTGGGTGAACCACATTAGAGCTTGGCCACATAGATTCTCCGAAAACAGCTTGCAATAGCCTGCGTCTTCATCAGCTTCATCCAATTCGACTCTTCCTGCAGCGATCAGAAAGGCTGCAAGATAGCTTTTTGGATCCTCCAATCCGCTGTAAGGGTCCAACTTGAGCTTCCGGGAATCTTTGATCCTCAAACTTGCAATTCGCGGGATAAAAGGGGTTCGCCTTGCTTCTTCAATGACTCGATTGATGTCTGGCTCCGAACTTGTAGCCTGATGAAATTTTGATTTCATTTCTTTTAATTCCTGGCTAACCTTCCTCATGGTCTCGAACTGGTCGAGGTTCTCCTGCTCGTACTGAGCTGCAAGTTGTTCTTCATCCCCGAGCTGCGTCTCTTCTTCCGACGTCTGAGCTACATTATTAGTAGCACCGGGAGTTGTTTGTCCGCTGGTTTCATTTCGTGCAGCGGAACTTGGCGAGTTGAATATCCCTCTTCGGGTTCCCACCGGGTTTCCTGCACTTAAAGAGCGAACACGAGTTTGTATATTATTGACGTTTTGACTAAGAGATACCTGGGATGTTTGCAACGTATCGACGGCCTTCTCCACATCCGAGAATTTCTGTGATATGTCCGACATGGTTTGCTGCATAGCTTTGAGGGTTTCGGCCAATGATGTCTCAACGGCGTCTCCTCCGGACATTGTCGCTTATCTCGGGAATGTAGAAAAGAAGAAATCTGACCACTCAAGAATCCTGATTTCCCCACAGGCGGCGCCAAAATGTGGATGTCGGATTCACACACTCAAGTATTTTGTTAAGTGGGAAAGACTATTCTTGAGGGACAAAAATGAATACGTAAGAACTTGTAAATTGATACGAAAATTGCTATAGTATTTCTCTCTTGAGAGGAGGATCCCCTTTTACATGACCATTGGCCTCTATATTTATACATAGATAAACGACATTAAAATGAGCAATTAAGTACAATTATTTCTTCTTCACAGCTATGGAGAAAGAGGGCAGCGTCTTCCGATGCTTCAAGACCCGATCGGGTTCGATCTTGCCAGACTTTGACAAATGGCGCCCTGCGATTCGTGAACGTTATTTGCTTCACGCACATCACTCATCTCGGGTTAGTTTCGCTTTCTTTTAAGTATATATTTTTTATTGTATTGCCATTCTGCGAATCTGACTCGTCATCCCGGGTTCATGTATAACGCCAGGCTCAAAGCGAATTTAACGACATGGTCGAACATTACGAAGGGTTGGTCATTGGCCGGGAGAAGGAGATTGACATGTGGACAAAGAAACTCTCCGCCCTTGAGGCCGAACTCAGTTCTTCTGCCGGCTCCAAGCACGAGCTGGAGGACAAAGTCGACAATTTAACATCTGAGCTTGCGCAGGTAAAGGGGGAGCTGCAGGGTCAGTACGACCAGAACTTCAAGCTCCAGGAAGAGTTTTCTGGTATTCAAGGTAGGCTTCAAGAGTCCGAATCAAACGCTGATTCCCTGAACAACCAACTCATCGAGCTCAACGCAAAGTACAAGGCGATCGCCAAATTGCGTGATCCGACACCAACAGCGTTGTCTAGTCTAACTCTCTTAATGGAATAATCAGAGAACTAAGCTCTTAATTTGATTATCTGAGTTATAAATCTCGCAAATACCAGATTTTGAGATGACACTAGACAAACATGTGACCATCTGCTAGATGCGTCAATCATTACCATAAAATAGTGGAATGGTCCACATGGTGAATGTATCGGTCCACAAATATCGCCTTGAATTTGTTCAAGGAACTTTGGTGATTCTTTATCAATTTTGGTTGGCGATGGCCTTATGATCAATTTTCCAAGAGAACATGCTGCACATGTCATTTTATTTCCATGATTCAACTCATGATTTTTCAATGAGTGACCATGTGAGCTCTCTATGATTTTTCACATCATTGTGGTGCCTGGGTGACCAAGACTATCATGCCATAATACGAAATCTTCTGGATTTCTTTTGATCACAAGATGTGATTCTATGGCATCTATATAGGTATGATGCAAACCAGAAGGAAGTTCGGGAAATCTTTCCAAGACATATCTTTTTCCAGATTTATTAGAAGTTATATACATATACTTCTTTCCATCCTCACTTGCAGACTGAGTTTCATATCCTTGAAGATATATGTCTTTGAAACTCAACAAATTCCTCTTAGAATTCGGAGAATATAAGGCATTATTTATGGAAAATTTTGTTCCATTAGGCAATTTAAAATTTGCTTTGCCGCTTCCTTCAATCAAGTCTGTAGGACCCGATATTGTATTGACAATAATCTTTATAGGTTTGAATTCAGAGAAAAATCTCTGATGTCTCAGAATAGTATGCGTTGTTCCACTATCTGGTATACAAATTTCTTTTATATTTTCCCTTGTTATCGTTTTGTTTGAATCTTGATCCATTTCTATGTAATTAACATAAGCATATATATATAAGTGAATATTATTGATATTGAAAACATATAATAATTATATATCAGTTCATTTTTTAGAAACAACATTATTTTAAAACAACTGAAATGCATAATAACTATACAATAGCATTACTGGAGACTAGTAGTCTCACTACAAGCATTTCAGTTATCCGCATGAGCGGTCTCGTCGACATCGTTTACAAAGTTGGAAGCTTCGAGGTACGATGTACCCTCAAAGTGCTCAGTAAGATTTACTTCCTTCTCTTTTCCCTTTTGGGACTCTTAGTACAACTTACAAAGATGTTCAGGGGTTCGACATATATGAGCCTAATGCCCCTTTGATCTACATCTGTAACAAATGCTTTCACGCTTTTGAGCGTTACGTCCTTGGGATTCTTTTCCTTTTGAACTTTGATCAGGTCGAACCCATGTATAAGACTTTCTGCTTTATGGGTTAAAGGATCTTCCACGTCCACGATTGAATCGACAGCCACGACCTCGATAGGTTTGACTTCCTCTCTCCGGATTTTTCACATCCGTTGCATTGACCTCAGGAAATGCTTTGGCCCCCGTAGGCCGAGAGTTGTGGTTCTTAAGAAGAAGGTCATTATTCTTCTCCACCAGTATGAGAGTCACAATTAACTCAGAGAACCTTTTGTATCCGCAATTTCTATACATCTCTTGCAGGACACGGTGTTCTTTATGAAAAGTAAGGTAAGTCTTCTCGAGCATTTCAGCTTCAGTAATAGGCTTACCACAATACTTTAATTGTGATACTATCCTCAGCATAGCAGAATTATATTCCTCCACTTTCTCAAAGTCCTGGAAACCTCAAGTTTTTCCAGTCCTCTAACGCATGAGGGAGAGTTATTTCTCTCTGGTTGTCAATTCGTGCTTTTAAAGCTTGCCACAGCTCTGTTGGGTCTTTTATGTGAGCATAGTCATGCGTCACATTTTCATCGAGATACGTTCTTAAAAATATTATCGCTTTTTCCTTATCTTTTGGAGCGATAAATTTTCCGATTTTAAGGTCTCGGATAATTCTTGCGACTCAAAATATAGTTCCACATCAGTGGTCCATGCTATGTAGTTTGCGCCAGTAATTTTGAAAGCCGGAAGTTTAACCTTCTCAATATTTGCCATTTGTTATCTAAACACAAAATTAAATAGATATTATTAGTAAAATAATATTATTTATTTCATATTGAACCATTTATATTAATGATGCAAGCGATTACAAAGAACATACTTGCATAGAAAAGTAAAGCGATACTTATGGTAAATTCTTCGCGAGTAAATTCCCCAACGAAAAGACCATAAGTACATGCAACAATTGCGATTAAACAAAGAATTAAAAACAAGCTAATCATCTTCCAAAATGAAAATTTAAACAAAAATCTTTTTGAAAAATATAGGAGGAGAGATATGATTTTTGAGTGAGTGAATGAGTGAAGATGAGTGTACTTATAGATTGAAAATTACTGTTCATAGCCGTTTGAAAAGCGATAAATTTTTGAAATTTTTCTTCATGACCGTTGGTGAAGATAATTAAACAGAAAATCAATGTGTAAATTTTAATAGCCAATCATTTAAATTTACCAAATTCAGATACTAGGTTTTTATATAGGTGGCCAAGCCTCCTTATATATTAACCAAAATTTTAGTATAACAGAAATAAATTTTAACGACAATATTGTGGTGACAGAGTCATCCACATTATAACAGTAAATAAATTATGGTGACGGAGTCATCCACAATATAGGGGGTTTAGCCGTCCATTTCTATGGTGTATAAAACATCCATTACAACGATTACTTATAGGGGCGACATTCCTCCCACTATTACTCATGAGTGGGCTCCACACAAATTATATTTTACTCGTAATATTTTTCATGTGTAGCGTCTATTGTAGACGTTTGATATTATTGACTTATGTTTTTGTGATTTTTGTAACAAAACTTAATTTACATGTTTTACATAAAAATATCATTAATTATAACTACTTCAACCAATAAAAAAACATATTATAAAATATATTTGGTCGTAAATAATTAGATATATTTAGTTTTTGTATAAGAAAATGAAAACACTACTTAAAGTGAAATAAATATATATATATATGTATGGCCTGGTGATAGTTAAATACATCATTTTTCCTACTAATCTTCTGTAGGATGCAGGGTCTCTAAAATATCATTTTAGATGTTATGAACAGATTCGAAAACGCAGCTGTTTTGGTTTCGAAATACAACATTGCAACTAAACTTGGAATCAAACAAATTAAAATCTATAGTAAATCGAGTTTACTCTCAGACACAAAAGTTGTGTACCTAAAATTGATATTACATGATCAACAAAACACTAAAGCCTTGATCTAATTGCTTCAAATCCCCTAAATTTTTAAGAGCTAAACAACATCAATTTTGGCTGTGATATTGTTTTTTTTTTTTTTGTCAAAACTGTGATATTGTTTTCTAAACCAAAACGACATGATTTTGTATTCCGTTCAAAAAAATTTAGGACGAGATGATCTTGCATTATTTTTATAACTTCGAGTTTTTTTTTAGCATTTTAAAGTAGAGAAGACAAAAAATTGCAATTTAGTGAATTTATCACATATTTATTTATATTTTATGTTCCAAAACATTTTAAGCACTTCTTATATAATAGAAATTTATATGTCAAAATATTAGTTTTTTCCACGAACCAACTAGCCTATATAAAAAATTTTGACCTTAGAAACCTTGCCTATGATGATGTTCGTTGATGAGTTCCATATTTTTCTTTTTAACAAATGTATTAATATTTATTTTAAATTTTTTCCAGATATCATGCCTGTTTTCAAACCCATAGAACACATAAATCAGAGTGAGTAGGCAGCGCCTACCAAGCAAAGCTTTCTTGAAGAGGCTGAAAACGGGGAGCTACGGCTGATCGAAAAGCGAAGATAGGCGCATAGTTCCCCCACAAGAAAACTTGTATTTTCGGACTATATTTTGTGACCATTTTTGGTCGCCAATATTCGGGACGATATTGTGACTACTTTACAAATATTAAGAGACTACGCAAGATTCAGAGGCTAAAACATCGGTAATTTACAATGGTAGCAAATAGTCGATAAACAGTCTCATATTTGCTACGTTTTAAGACTAGAAATCGACTAAAGAGTTGTTGTCACAAAATAATCACAAGTTGAGATTCATTAGCAACTCCTATTTAGTCGTAATATTATGTCGCAAAGTAATCCCATAATTGTGACCACATTTGCGTCTAACACATGAGATTACAACTGATTTACTACCTTACATTAGAAACCTTTTTTCTATCTTGTTTATTTTCTTGATCTTACTAAATCTCTTTTGTGGTTGTATCCACTATGTGTCTGTAAGTTTGGTTCCTTTTTTCCTTGTTTATTGTCAAAGTTTGAATTTCCTAGCATGGGTTGTGACGAACCAGTTAATTTTAGACCTAGATTGATATGTTTCTTGTTCAAGGTTTTGGGCCAAATTAAGATTTTTATAGTTTGATAAGTCTTCGTGGGTTTTGGTTTGCCTAATTTCTTTGTTCTATGTTTAGAGTTTTGCAAGTGATGGATTGGGGAGAGTTGAATTTTGTTGATCTATTGAACTGAACTTGAACCTCACAAGCTTAACAAAATGTTGTTGCCATTGATTTATAAGTTAATAACGCTTTCAATTTATTTTATTTCAAGACTTTTTAAGGGTTTCTGAAAAGCTTGATGACATGAATTTTGTAGCGTGGGTTGTGACAAACTAGTTAATTTTAGACCTAGATTTAAACTGTATGTTTCTTGTATCTAAACTCTTGGCTCACCTATTTTACCACCATGAACTAATATTGGGATGATTAATGTTTCATTCAATGATTTCTAGCACTACTCTCAAGTCCCAAATAATAAAAAATATTTTGTAAATATCATTTAGAAGAATAACTTTTTAAATTCCACTAGGAATATAAATTTCATCACTTTCTCAAATTATGTGTGTTACCATTTATATCATGAGAATAAAGGTGAACAACTGAATATGTATTTAAGAGGTTGTCTAAAATATTGACTTTTGTTTGTACTACACAAGGTTTGACAAGTCAAAACGTGAGTACAACCACAAAAACATTTAAGAGACCACAAGATGTACCAAAGAACATCACAATAAATACGAAACCATTTTCTCTAAATTTTGTCCCAAACAAAATATCAGAAACTTATCATACAATGGATCATGGTAACATGCATAACATGCCACCACCACCATCACCATCATCATCAATGGCGAATCAAACCAATTCCGACATGATCGTGATGCATATGAGCTTCTTCTGGGGCAAGAACACGGAGATTCTCTTCTCCGGCTGGCCCGGGACAAGTTCCCGCATGTATGCTCTATGTCTCATCATCGTCTTCCTCTTCGCTGTCATCGTCGAGTGGCTTGCCCATTCTTCGATCCTTCGTGGCCGTGGCTCCACCAGCCGCGCCGCGGGGCTCGCTCAGACCGCCGTGTACACACTCAAGACAGGTCTAGCATATCTCGTGATGCTCGCGGTTATGTCCTTTAACGGCGGTGTTTTCATTGTCGCTATCGCCGGATTCGCCGTTGGTTTCATGCTCTTCGGAAGCACTGCTTTCAAGAACCCCTCTGATGACGAGAAACCCTTCGAAGTTCTCTAGCCGTCGTCAGGCTGCGTTTGCCGAACCAGAACAACTATGGTCACTTTTTATTTACTTGGAAAGCACATTTCGTTTGTGTGTATTTTGCGTTGCTTTGAATTTTGATAATTTGTGACTAGAATTTGGAATTTAATGAAGAATATGGCCATTTTTGCATTTTATTGTAGATGATAAATTTTCAACCACAAATTAAAGAACAAACGCTGTCCATCACTCAATAAGTTCTCTGCGAGATAAGATGAAATTTTATTGATCAACAAAACACATATATGGTTGTACCCCTTGTTTGAAAAATCGCCAGGCGCTAGTCGGGCGCTCGGTATGGGCCTAGCGATTAATCGGAAAATCGGATTAAAATCGGGGATTAATCGAAGATTAGTTTTAGGGTTATTTTAATATTTTTAAAACATATTAATCCAATATTATTTTTAAAATTGCAGTACACATAAAAATGTATTTTTGAGACAAATATTTATGATTTTTATTAAAATATGAACATAAATTATTGTAAAACATTACAAACTCCCAATTCAAATGATTAAATAACAAAAATAAAAAGTTTTTTTTATACTAACAATCTAAAAATAATCGGGGTATGTAAGATTAGGCGGGGAATAATCGGATTAGGCGGGGAATGATCGGATTAGGCGGAGAGTAATCGGGTGACTGATTTCTTTAAGGGATTAGTCATTAATCGAGGCGGATAAGGTGGGCTTAGCGATTAAGCGGGGAATAATCGGGTCTAGGCGGGGATTTTTAGAACAGGGGTTG